GTACCTGACTGGTCACAACCAATTGCGATTCCACTTGCACGAATAGGTGCGATTACAGAGTCGAAATTCTGGCTCTGCCTTGAAGATGATGAGACTTCAGAGCATATTCTCTGTCACTGTCGTGCTTTTTCCTGGCAAAGATTGATCTATTTCAAGGATTTAATGGTTCAAGCCTTTGTTGTACACAATTCGGCTGACAAGGCCCTTTCACAATTCATTAGGGAAGCCGAAGGTATCTTGGCCATTTGTTACATCTAGCAAATAACTTACTAACTAACTTAATTAAGATTAGAGACCATCTGTGCCCCAAATTTCATTCAAATACGCCTGGTTGTTTTAGCGCAAAATAGCAACAAACCTAATTACACACTCACTCAGCCACAGAGTTTCACATGTGTGTGTGTAATGTTAGTAGCATTGTTAAAGTTTCCGGAAAACACATTTTTCACATGTTTCGACAAGGTTAAATGAAAAAAATCATTTTTATTTATTTATTATATATACTTAATAATTTGAATTTATTATTTTCCGAAAAAATAGTTCTAATCGAAATTTGGGGTAAAATTAAGTAAGTTTCCATAATAACACACATGCTATGCCTTTCCTCATACACAAGATGTGTTAAACACCCACCATTTAATAATCGAATGCATTGCGTCCTTGAATTCAGGTGTAGCAAAAATAAGTATGTACCTATTAATCTTTAGGCATAATCGAAATAATCTGTATTTGTGTACAAACGCAACAAACATTACAAATTATTTTGCCATTTTGGTAGTATAAAAGCGCACTAGGAAACTGCAAATTCCATCAGTCGTTTTGCGTAGCTTCAAGAACAAGCTATAGCTCGAAAAGGCCGTTCATTAAACATTCTAATAAATATTATTAAATTAAGTATATTAAATTGTATACTCTACCGCTATGATGTCGCCGAATTTGTTTAAAATTTGCCTATCCCTGCTTGTTTTATGTGCCGTTTTGCAACAAATTATCGCACAGAGCAGGGTATGTGGTCCGGCCATAGATGCTGTACTGGATACTATTTGTGAAAATGGCTTTAACACAAAATTCAAAAAGTCCAGTGAGTATAAGTGCACAATATATACATATGTATATTATGTACATATGTATAAAATTGAGCAATAATCATATAATGGCTCTTATTACTAAAACGTGTGCTTAGGATTGAGCTCAAACTCATATCCTTAGTTCACAAAAATTATCTGCTTTATATACCAAAAATTCACATTGAAGATAGAAATCAATTAAGCTGTATCGGTCTGTACGTAATTCATTCGTCTGCCTCGTCTGTTCATGATACGGGAATAAAAGTTTGGACTTCAAACGAAACTTGGTGTACATGCAACACATATATGTATATATACATATGTATGTACTAAAATTGCCCATGAGGTGAGTTTGTGTTGAAAATGGATCAAACCGCTTACCTCACAGTATTGATATCGAATATACTGCGATATTTCAATAATAACTAATCCCAATTACTACAAATCGATATACATACATACATTTGTTCATAAAATCAGAGTAATATTTTAGTAGATCCGCCAATTTATAAAAATCTTTTAAAAATCTCTACAAAAGTTGGTATGCACTTAGTTATTCGTTTCACTAATCAAGAAGCTTACTTGTTTTGAAAACCAGCAATCACTAGGTATATATTATGAAGAGATACAAAAAGTCCTGCGTCGCTTCGGCTTTTTTACTACAGTTTTTCCGATGTTTATGATTATAATTATATTTTTTTTTTTAATTGTACGGCTAAAAAAATTCCCAAGTAAATTTGTGTCATTTTAGTGGAATGGAAAGACCTTGACAACAATTATCCGCCTACCCGTTATGCATCCTTCCCTCTTCTAGCTGGGATTCATGGCGGTCAAGTTGACACATTGGCTAAGACTCGACGGCGCCGTGAGGGTGTATTCGACGAATGTTGCCGCAAGCCTTGTACCTACAACGAGCTCTATTCATATTGCAAATAAATTGTTACAGTTTTGAAAATACGAATGTTGGCAGTAAAGGGAGAAAGCCGAATATTGTTGTTTATTTGCTTATAAAAAGAAAAATTGCTTTGGTGTTAACAAATGTTAAGAAATTTATTGTTTTAAGTATTTTTAAGTGAAATTAAATGATTGCAATTGAATTCAATCTTCTTCTTATTTGGCTCTGTAACCGCCTAAGCGATTTGGACGAGTTCAACAAAGCACGCCAGTCGTTTCTCTTCTGTGCCAACTGGCGCCAATTGGAAATACCAACTGAAGCCAGGTCCTTCTCAACCAGGTATTTTCAACGCATAGGAAGCTTTCCTTTTCTTCTATTACCAGCATCACGAACCGCGTTCAAATACTTTCAGAGCTGGAGCGTTTCTGTTATCCATATGATACAATCAGCCCAGCATAGCCGAACTATGTCTGTGTCGTTGCTAAGCTCATAAAGCTCATCGTTCCATCGTCTGCAGTATTTGCCATCGCCAAAAACGCGTAACAGTCACCTTGTGTGAAATTGCGTTTGGTGGCAAATGGTTCGGGCAGGTCCTTGCCACCGCCACCTTGACAGAGCTGGTGGTATTTCTCAACGTCAGTTTACACAGTCGTAGTATTTTCTCGGTGGCTGTGGTGTAGTGGTAAGCAGTGCGCGCTTCTACTCCTCAGCGCCTGGGTTCAAGCCCTGGTCAAAGCGACATCGCAAAAAAATTTAGAGAAAGGTATATTATTAACAGCTGTCGCCCCTCGACAGGCAATGTCAAACCACCGAGTGTATTTCTGCCATGAAAAACAGCTTCTCATAAAAATACACTCGCCATTCGGAGTCGGCGTAAATCTGTAGATCCCTCCCCTTTGTGTGACAACATCGAGACGCACGCCACAAATCGGAAGATAAGCTCGGCCAAACACTAACATATGTGTGAGCGCCAATATATTATTATTATTGTTATTATTGATATTATTTTCGCGGAGATGCCAAAATCAGACGTCGCGGCATATAGGCAACTCCTTTTGGTGCTATCGGAAGCGGCTTTGAAGTCGACAAATAGATGGTAGCGGTATTCTTGAAGTCTTGCACGATGCACGGATTGCACGAAGTGCACAAATTCTCTACCAAATTTGTAAGAGTACGAGAGCACCCCATTTCAAAGTGGTTACATGGATAGGTAGCAAGCCGCGAAGTTCTGTATCAAATACAATAACAAGAGACAGTAAAAAAATGCAGTGAGCGAGATGAGGGGAATGAGAACAACAAGCACAGGATCGCATGTATTTTGCTATGATTCTTTGCAAAATATATGCATCGGTTTCGACGTTGCATATTTTTCAGCGATGGGAAATGTTGTTTCCAATGTATTTTGTAGTTGTGTGTTTGCAAGTTATGCAATCCGTGCAATCCGTGCTACGTGCAACGGCTTTGCAAGATTTCGAGAATACCCCTATTGTGTATTTACCAGGTCGGAAGCCACACTCTGATAAGACTCAATCAATTCGTTGATGGTGTGCTTCAGTCTTTCATGCGATATGCTCAACAAGACCTTATAAGGGTGATCCCGCAGTAGTTGGCGCCTATGGCAGGGTTCCCTTCGTTGTAGATTGAGTAGAGCACACTTTAATTCCAATCGTCAGCTCATCGCCGCCATACTTGAATAGCTCAGCTGGTAGGTGCATATTACATTCTTTAGTCTTCCTCATAAATGGTTTAAAACGCAAAAGTTTCTAAGTTTTGCGCAAAAATTTTGCAATGAAAAATATATATCAAAATTTCCAATTAAATTGTTTTGTAACCAATAACTTTTTATTGCCAAGCAAGAAGTCTCCACGTGGGAGTAATTCTGCATGAGAAATTCTCATTAAAACACCCACTCGTGTGCTTATAAATATGCAATAAATCACACATGCATATGTACAGAATTGCGTGCTTGCTCCGTTGTTTTAGCGCCTTTCGTTGTCACCTACTCAAATAACTGTAAGCACCTGAACTATTTTAGGTATAAAAGCATAAGCAGAAATTGCATTTACATCAATTGCTCGGCACAGCTTCAAAGATACATAAGTTGTGCCAATTAAATATAGTATAAATATATATTTTTTTTATAAATAAATCCAAGCATTATTAAATGATGATATCTTTCGATTTGCTTAAAATTTGCGCTTTATTGTTTGTTTTAATAGCAAGTTTGCACAAAAGTACCACTCAACGAACTGTTTGTGGTCCGGCGCTGGATGCAGTGCTCAGTACACTTTGCGTTCACGGCTTCAATACGAAATTTAAAAAATCATGTGAGTATAAATAAATTCGCTTTAGGTAAAATTCGCAATAGTTTACGATGCCTAAGTTTGCAATTAATACAACTACATACATTGTATTGAATTCTAGTGGAATGGAGTGACCATGGCGCCAATGACCTGGTCGAGCAGCTGCCCTTCCCCTATGCAAACTCACCCTTTTTAGCCAAGATTCATGGCGGCCAAGTTGATACATTGGCCAAAACTCGTCGTCGTCGTCAGGGCGTATACGACGAATGTTGCAACAAGGGATGCACATACAACGAGATTTTATCCTATTGCAATAGATATGAAGACTTGATAAGAAACGGTAGCTTGTAATGTAATGCAGAATATATAGTTTGCAGGAATATAGCTACGCATTTTTACGCATATGTATAACATTGAAAAATTCTAATGTTATATTTATAATTTTTCCTTTATAATAAAATTTTAAAACTGAGAAAAATAAAATACATATGTATATTAATTGAAAAACAATGTCATTTGAATTGAACCTTTCTTTACTGTAGACCAACACGCAACCAATGATGAACTCGAAAATGGGGTTAAAAAAATTAATGAATATTACGGACAGCTTAAGAAAGTACAACTTTGGTTTTAGTATTACTGTCAGCGTCGTGCTGCTTATAGGATCGATTTCGAAAAGGTCGCAGCTATGCGAGATATGTCCTTTTTCGAATATAAAAAAAGAAAGTAAACCTGTTGTAAGTGTCTTAAAACAATTTTAACTGTACTCCCATATTTGTATTCGTACGTCCTAATCTAATCTACAATGATTTTTAATTTTTCGAGTTTACCCAATAGGAATTAAAATTAATAATGAAATTATATAATAAAAATTGATTTTTTTCGATCAAAATAAATAATACAAATTTTTTTCGTGCCAAAAACTCCCTTCCCGCTCCGTTTACTTTGGAATATGTGTTTTAAATTCTACGCTCTTATTGGGAGCTTATCTCGGCAACTTCAAATTGAGATAAAAAAAGAAATGGTAGCCAACTTTTTCAACTCCTTTTGTACTTTGTCAGTATTTGATCAGCCTTATCAAATGCCGTTCATTCGCTGGCCATCACCTCCAACTTTTTGAAATTAGGTACACAGTGTAACTAGATATTATAAAAATACTCAAAATCTCTCAATAGAGACGAGATACAATAATAAAAGGAATAAGTATTAAAATACTCAAGTAAAAATTTCATTTGGTGTTGTCTGAGTTTAATAAATAATCATTATATGTAAGCGGTAAAACAAAACTCAATAATGAACGGTGCTACGAAAAAGTCATGAAATACACTGGACACAAAACCTAGTGTAGGTTGTAGATATGATCGAATACAACATGAAAATAGGTCCCGTATATTTCCTGAACCCTCCGTTTATATTTTATTTAAAAACAACCGGTATGTATGTTTTTGATGCACTTATCTACCCTGTAGGAAATGTATCTAACTATAAGCTTTACTTGAAGTTGAATAGGAAGGCGCTAAAAGTCACTTATTATCTGTATATTTGCTTTGACGAAAGCTAACTATATTTCTAGGGCGATGGCTGCGAAATAGTCAAGGGTGGTTACCTCTGCATTTGATGTAGCTAACTTGTAACTAACTACTTTTGGACATAAAATATGAATAGGAAAAACAAAATATTTTTTTAATTTTTTTTTATTCTTTTATGTTTATTTACTTTATTTATTTTCCCTGCAGTGAAAAATTATCAATTGTTAAAACTAACCAACTTATA